CACCCGAAAGCGGCTCTGGAATGAACTACACAGCTCCCAGGAATCTCTCCTTGCAACACGTGTGAAAATTTTGGAGTTTCTATATGCGCAATTTTGTTCTCCGAGTTTTGCTCCATTTTGCTCCATGATCGGCGAGTTTTGCTCCATTACCTGGAATGAACTACGCGCTCCTAAGAATCTCTCCTAGCCCTCCCACCTCCCACACCAGTGAAAATTTAGTTTGATCATATTCATTCTGTTCTCCAAGTTCCGCTCCGTTTTGCTCCATGATCGGCGAGTTCTGCTCCATTACTCGAGCTGCTTTCGGGTACTCAGGCGCTCTGAAGCTACTCTCATTTTCCTCGCCTCTTTTTCCTGATGCACCTGTAACTGATTTTCAAGCATTCGAGTGCGAAGTGCGTTGAGTATAATGGCCGTATTATTTGTTGTCCTTGTCTAGTCAACAGGCTATTGAGTATATCTCAATCGTTTTGATAGGTTTGATAGGTTCATAAAATCTGTCGCTATGCGTCCTGTCCCATTGGCTTCCTCTCCCCTTTCAGACGTCGTCCATCATGAACCATGCTGTGGGCTTCAACAAAGGCGACGCACTCGTTCTCATGGAAACGCTGCTCCCCTGTTTCAAGAATAAGGACCCTAGAGGTCATTCCAGGTAATGGAGCAAAACTCGCCGATCATGGAGCAAAACTCGGAGAACTAAATGAGCACGATCAAATTTCAGAATTATCACTGCGGGGGGGGGGGGGCTGGGAGAGATTCTTGGGAGCTCTGTAGGTCTCTCCTGGTAATGGAGCAAAACTCGCCGATAGTGGAGCAAAACTCGGAGAACAAAATTAGCATGATCAAATTTCTGAATTTTCACTGGGGGGGGGGGGGGCTAGCGTTAATTCAGCCCCCCCACCTAATAGGCCACATAGTCTCTCCACTGTAATGGAGTAAAAATCGAAATTAGTGGAGCAAAATGAGAGCAAAATTATGGCATAACTTTCATCCAGAAATTTTCTGTGGGGGGGACTAACTTAACTGACCCAAAAAAAACAAAGATACAAAACCAAACAAGGACATACCAAAGTGGCACATCCAGCCACTCCCTGGAAGAAGGCCAATTACAAATCTCTTAACAGATACCAAACTAATAGAGAAAATAGCACAATCGTGGGGATACCTATTATAATTATAAACTAGACGATCTACAAAAGCATTAAGACCATAGTTAGTTTTGCGATAACGTCCGTAAAATAACGCACTTCTCTTGTACGTCTTATTGGAATTAAAAAAATTGTGCAGGCAATTACTCTGTTGAGAAGTTTGTGGAGAAACAACAAATGAGCATATCTTCGACGACACTCGAGGCTTTTGACTCCACAAAGCAAAAGTCTAGTGTCATAAGTGATGTTACTACAAGGAAAGTGAAACTTATACAACAGGTATTCAAGAAATTTACTTTGGACATCCTGAGTCCCTTCAGAACAATATTATCAATATGCAAATTAAACGTTAGGTCAGTGTCGAAAATTATTCCTAGATCGTTAATAGATGATACATTTTCAATTAGTTTCATTAATGGTTTACATATTATTCAATGGGTTCCAACGTTTGGGGAAACAGATAGATTTTACATTTAGAAATATTGATTGACAACAAGTTAGATTTGCAGCACACAACAAATGTGTCGAGATCAGACTGCAAGCCATTGAGCCAAGGCCAACTGTAATAAAAAGTTTGAGGTTGTCAGCGTATGGGATGTTTTAAAACACAATAGAACATCATTTATAAATGATGAAAAGAGTACAGGACCGATATGCGAACCCTAGGAGACGTCACAAGACACAGAACCACAAACAGTAACAAGCTGACAAAGCTGAGATAGGTAGGATTAAATGGATGAAACAAGGAAGTCCTTGTAATCTGCTAGGTTAGTACAGGCAGAACGACCTTTATAGAAACCACGCTGTTCAGGAATAATGTAGTTTTTATGTGTGTAAAAAATTACATCGGTAAGAATTGACTCAAAAAGTTTAGGTATAGGAGAGAGAAGAGATATTCCACCGTAATTACTGACAATTGATCAATCACTTGACTAGAAAACAGGAAGAAGATACGATTTTTTCCATAAGGAAGGAAATTAATCTATATCCATCGATCTTTGGAAAAGTGTTCTCAATGGGTTTACAAGGGAGGATATATTAATATTGAAGTTTGCTCTAGTATTGTACACACTGGTTCGAGTTTCCAAACAGGAATATTTCTTATGCATAAGACATATACAGTTTCCAAAATAAAGACACATAGTTTTCCTTAATAAATAATGATTGACAGTGTTCACGACCAACAACTCTATACACATAGTGAACCGCCCTCTCAACAACACTCCATGATCCAAACAAACAAATGTTTTCGAAAAATCACAGAATATTGCCGTAACAGCCTCGCCGCTATTTATGATCAACCCGACAGGGCAAAGAGAAAATGGCGTCATTTGTTTTTTTTTTACCCAGAAAACCATATTGGGAAAGATTTAATGTTTTGTTAATTTCTAAAAAAATCATCAATCTCTTCTTTACTATTTTCTCAATGACCTTCGAAAGCGTGGATAATAGAAAATGGGACGATAATTTGAAAGGTCACTCCGACGGTCATCCATGTCACAGCCTTAAAAAACCGGAATAACCAGCGCACCTTTCAAACACGTTATAATTGATTAACTATTTCCTAGTTTTTCTTGTTTTGTTTTGTGCTTCTTTTGCCATCCCAATTACCTTTTTGTAAATTCGTTTATAATGATATATGACAAAAAACTATAATTTTGACTTATAATACCTGCTAAAGAGTAATATTATTAGACTAATATTTTTTATGAAGCAGGCCCCGGTCATTACTTTGATACTTTCTTATAGAATGTAATGATCGTATCAGAGAAACCAATGCCTCAAATTTCACCTGCAGCTGTCACCTCAACAGGTAGACTGGTTCAGAATCTGTGGTTCAACCAAATAGAGAAACTATATGTTTTTGGAATCGGAAAATTGTGCTCTTCAAGAATATATAATCAAATATAGGGCATCTCATTTGAAAAACGCTGAAAGTACGCAAAATATCAAATTTTTAACAATAAATTTTTGTTTCTGACGATGGATTCTAAAAATGTAGCTAAAACTGCACAGCACTTTCCGCACTTATTAGGGAAAAACCTATTTTTTTTTTAAACAATTTATCTCCCTTAACATTTTATATTTTAATTTGAATCAAATTACATATAAATATGAAATTTTCCAATTTCCTTTAAACATTTGTAATACATAGGTAATAATAACATTTTAGTTTCTAATAATTTAGAATTATTTTCTCGTCAGTGGAAAGTAAAAGTTTACATTAACCAAACCATTCAATTAGGTACCTATTGCATAAATATTAAATAATTTTACCTGATTCAGCATTTCTCTGGTAGCATCCATGAATATTTATAATAACATGCTTATATTGTTTATAGTTGGAAGGAGAAATGAGAACAGCCAATGCCAGTAGTATTGTAAATTTTTAAGTTGAATTTTGGTTGCTACTAGTGCAATGATGGCATTTTTCTTAGTATTTCCAAGCTCCTGCATATTTGCATTTTTTATATTTGTAGGATCAATTGTTGCAGGGTATCTACCTCTTATTTGTAACTTTTCAGAGGTATTTATTATTTTCTAGATTTACTAATTTTGTTTTCAATTTACAATTTCTGTAGGATAAACTGAAAAAAATCACAGTTTTTGGAGCTGGACTATTAGTGGGCACTGCTTTGGCCGTAATTATACCTGAAGGTGAAATTATTTTTAATTAACCTGTATTATTTCTGATAATTATTAAATTTTAGGTGTAAGGTCTATGATCTCGGAACAAGATGTTAGCCACGCTCACAACGAGTCCACCAACACGCATGAACCTAGTGATCCTTTGTCTGTGATAGGAATTAGTTTAGTTGCTGGATTTATTTTTATGTTGATTGTTGATCAGGTGAGAATTATTGTTTATAACAGAAAATGTACATTCTTAATATGTATATACAGAAAAACTAGGATATAATGAAAATGACTGAAAGTCCTAAAGTTCTCATTTATTTTTCAGGTTTCTCAGAGTAAAAATGAAAACCTAAATCCATCAGAACGAAATGTAACGGCCACAATCGGATTGGTAGTACATGCAGCTGCTGATGGAGTAGCTCTAGGCAAGTTAATAAAGAATTAAATGCAGTTTATTAACAAAACTAACTTTTTTATTCAGGTGCCGCGGCCACAACAAGTCATGCAGACGTAGAGATAATCGTCTTTTTAGCTATAATGTTGCACAAGGCCCCCGCAGCATTTGGTTTAGTGACTTACTTGATGCACGAGGGCATAGAAAGACAGAGAATAAGGAAACACTTGTTAATATTTGCCTTGGCCGCTCCTATTTTAACTGTCATTACGTATTTTGGTATTGGACAAAAGGGAAAAGAAACTTTAAGTTCTTATAATGCTACAGGTACCTACTTTAACTACATTTAAAACAGTGATACCTTACCCCTTGAAGGAAATTATTACAAAACCTGCCTCTCTACTAGAAAATTTAAGTTTTATTTAGACTTAATCACAAAGATCTTTAGCTAATGAAGTTACAAACTATATCTTCTACAGGTATTGCTATGTTGTTTTCTGCTGGTACATTCCTCTACGTCGCCACCGTTCACGTTCTAGCTGACTTGACGCAACACTCTCAACAAGGTCAATACTTGAAAGTTCCTCAATCCTTGGAAACTGGCAAAGTTTCGCAGCCTCATCCTGCCGCCCTCAAACCTAAAGAGTTGCTATTTTTAGTTTTCGGTTGTGTATGTCCTTTGTTTTTGACTGTCGGTCACCATCATTAGTGTAAGAACTAAACTGAACATGGGTGAAAGTGTGGAACATCCAAAATGATCCTTTCAACACACTATCCCAGATCCAGGGATAATAAACCAAGTTATGGTCAATTTTCAAGAATGTTATTCATTTCTGGATCAGGGCTAGTATTGCTCACAGATCTTTAATTGATGTTTTTGGTAGTCAATGGTACGTAACCTAAATTGTTGCATTTTTATAATTCATGATAATGTATAAGAAAAAAATACTTTTTTAAAATAATCAGTAGGACATTATAAGATGAAATAATTATTAAATAAGTTTTGTTTTGTTAAAATATTAATATATTTTGACGCAATTTTTAAAGTATACAATATAATTTTTTATAGTGCCAATTTTTCCAAAAAAAAATATTTTCCATTCGTTTTATGTTTATGTATATATTTTTGTAAATTATTTATTTTTTAATAAATAAGTCAAAAAGAGTTGTGTGTCGTGTCTCATTCAGAATGTAAGTATGAAATCCTATTGTCCATCCTCCAAACCAAATGTTCTGACAATTTCAATTTAGGGTGCAACGGATCTAGTTATCTTGCACTGAAAGTAAGGAATAAATAAGAAAAAAAATCATACTAAATATATTATATTACAAATAATAATCACAATTAAAATAAGTTTACATATCAACTAAATTAATTATTAACCTTTGATTTTATCAAAGGTTGTATACTCCTATTATTTAAAAATTGCATTGCATTATCAAAAATTCACTTTGGCTCAAAAATTACAAAAATAGGGATGCCCCAAATAAACGTCTGCGTAAATATATTATGGCAATTGGAAAAAAAAAAACTATATGTATGGCACATTAAAAACTTTGTTAGTGGAAGGGTTTTATACAAGGGTGGCCATAGAAGAAATTAGAAAATAATAAATATTTGTGGTTACATGAAAATAAAAAAATTATATACAACAATTTCAAGCTTTTGCTTTAACATTTAAATGTTATTATAGATAGGTAGCGATTTTGCACAAATTAACTAAAAAATAATTATTTAGTACGGTTAAATAGAAATAAGGGTATCTAAAGTCCGTTCATAAAGTCTATAGACTTTTTTGAGTACGTAATGTTTTATTTTGGACGCTGATTGGCCAAAATTAGGGGGGGCGACCAGCGCTCAATTTAAACGATAAACCCAAGGCCCTAGTGAGTCCCCAAAATCTCAGGAAAACTCTTTAGACTTTATAAACGGACTATTTACAAAACTTTAATCAGATTTTTAGTTAAAAATGAAAGACAAGTTTTGCTATAGTATCGCATTAGTAGTAGCAATTTATCTGAAAATTATACCCTCATATATTCTTAAAGCTCTCTTTATAGTTTACAATAAACTAAAATACATACTACCTAATAATATCTAATCTCAAACCAATCAGTGCGTTAAAAAGTTACAAAAAAGTGCTAAAATTATTAATCGAAAACAATTATTTACAACCATATTTGAACAATGCTAAAAATGCTAAAGTTATCTACTATAGTATCAATCCATTCCATACTATAGAAGATTTGAGATTCACAGACTATACTATGGACTTTTTATGTAATGCTCATACGTATTTACGTAAATAGTGGTAAATTATGGAAGTGGTAACCCCTTTTGCCTTTAGCTGCCAGACAAATATACACCACATGGTAGGCTCCAGGTACAAAACATATAAGGCCTAAAAATTATGATTTCCTTATAATATCTTTACCAAAAAAAATAAAATAAACAACATCCTTACCAGCCAATAAAAACACAGATCCTTGCAACACAGAATTGGGTTCACTTAAAGTGAGAGTACCAGTTACAAGTAACCCGGAACCTATAATAAGTAGGGTGGTAGCTGCCAAAACCATTCGCCAATTTTCACGAACTTTTGGGTGTGTGAAACAAGATCGGTGAAGGTTCTCCTCGCTGGAACACTCATAGTAGTCTTGGATCAAGGAGTCACTGTCTCTGGACGTATCTGTAACTGCTTTGTAGCCCCTGAAAGTTAAGTAAACGTATGGAATCTCATAAATACTCTGAAGGATTTTTTAGATGAGAGTGTATAATGAATTACAACAAATATAACTTGAATAATTTCGTCACACTATTATTTTTCTGGTCTAACAATTTCTTTGTTTATACTTTAGTAATGATTTCATTACTGACAATATGTTCTTTAAGTTTTTGCTTAAAGCAAAGACACTAAAAAACACATAGTGGAAATTAAAACATATGTGAAATAAAGTTTACTTTATTATTTCTATTAATAAATTTTTACACTTGGGCCACTACTCATATGGCAGTTTTATTAGGTTTCCAAACACTAATTATTATGCTAATAATAGAAATATCTGCTAGTATAAGGCTCTTAGTATTTTTTTTTTCTAAATAAAAAATGTTGCTTAAATTAATTTTAACAAAATGTTATGCATACCTGATTTTATCTTTGCAAGTACTTTTTAAAGAAGGACTCATATTTGAGTAAAGCAAAACTTATTCTACAAGAAATGCTTAAATAATAATGGCTTTTGCATGTATAAAAAAATATATTGTGTGTAAACAAATCGTTATCTGTTTTGTAGGTTCAACATTCTTTTTATTTATAATTTGAAAATAATAACGATGATTATTATTATTATTATATATATTGAGATGAGAAGATTGTTACAGTATAAACTGCAGTCGAGTTCGGATATAGCAAGACTGTGTAAAGTGAACACTCGGTTATAACAAACGCTTTTCCAAATCCCCATAAGACAATGATATTAGTATATTACAATCCGAGACGGGAAATGCTTCATTACTGGTCGAGAGGTTTTATAGTTTGAATAGCAAGCAATGAAGTTTCCCGTCGAGGGTTGTATACTATTTTATTTTTAACAATAATTTCTTGAAAAAAAATAAATTCGGGGCAACCAAATGAGGTCGGCAAATGAAGAGGAAAATGAGAACGGGAAATATTTCCCTGCTCCATTTTCCGTCCGTGGACGGGAAATGAGGACGGAAAAAATTTCCCGGGGTGCGTTCAAAGACGGCAATGCTAATGCCAAAACCTACTTTTCCCCCTCCACCGGTAATGTCGAACCACGTTGGTCGGAGCCGAACTCGAACGCAAAATGCCAATTTTGGCTTGGCTGTAGCCGTTCCTGAACGCAGCCCCGTCCTCACTTCCGGTCCTGGGACAGGTAATGGAGCAGGAAAATGAAAAGACAGAAATGTGACATTTTCAAATTTTTGAAAAGTCAGTAATGACAACATTTCATATATGGTTAAAAATAAATTTTTTTACCGCTTATAGTAAATCTGGGATATAAGGTCTGTTCTCACATAAATCACTAAGCAGTCAGAGCGTTTTTGATTGGTGCAAATCGAAAACAACCAGTTATCTGAATATTTTCAATGAATAGACCTAAAGTCTGTTTTTTATTTAAAGATAATTCCCCAAGTCAAAAATTTAGTAACTATGTTGGCAACACAAGCCCTTTCTACATAAAAAATTTGAAAGCATTGACAATTTTACATTGTATTGCCAACATAATGTCATTTTGACTTTTATCTTTAAAAAAAAAACAGATTTTATCTCGCAAGATTAGAAAAAGAGAGCCTTATTATAATAAATCCAAATTAGAAAGCAATAAAAGATGACATGCGCGCGCAACTCGTAGGCTGCAATGTAGTCAGATTGTGTTGTTGCAGAACAAATGTAGATAATACAAATCGAACATTATAACATTAAAGAAGTGATATAGTATCAAGTGTTTTACAACGCCTTAAATCAGACAAAAGAAGAGCTTTAAAGTGGATGAACATCGTTTACACTTTTATTTTGATAAATGTATCATCCGTCAACATCGCTCAATGAAATTGCAAAGGAATATGTCAAGTATAATCTAACATAACCTTAAACGACACTGCGGTGAGTTCAAGTAATATGTAAAGTATTAGTTTGCTCTTTGTCAAATTACACGTTACAAAGAAAGAAGGAACGATTAATTCTGAAATGGCCCCTGAATAAGAATATAACGCAAGCCTGTCACAAACTTGCTTCTCATTGGGCGCTCACCTGCAGCCTACAAGAGACGCGCGCAGTCCAGGTAAAGGCTCATCCTCAATCAATTTAGTAGCGAAGTGGCACTTCGGCACGCAAGCTAGGAAAATGTTGTTTAACGTTGGCATCCTCAATTCAATTCCGTGCTGGCATGCACGTCGACTCTGAAGTGAAGGTTGCAACCTGCCAGCTTTTTCGATGCGTGCCGACTTATGTCCTGCGCAGTACGGTAAAAAATAATTTAGGTTATCCTTGCGTTCGGTATTTTGCTCAAAGAGCAGAGCGGAGCCGTAATCACGTGACCAACGAGCGCACAGAGCAGTTAAACGCTGTATCTGAGGGCTCGAAATTTTATTAAACGAATGTGAATGAGCCTGCACCGAGTACACTTTTTGAATAAACGAACGGTAAGTTCATGCTCAGAGAACTCAGATCAAAATACCGAATGCACAGTATGTGACCGTACTACACGCAGAGCAGACTGAAAATTGACAGCATCGAGGATGGGTATACATTTTCCAGCACGCGTGCCAAAGTGTCACTTCGCTACCAGATTGATTGAGGATGTAGCTTAATAGGAGATCGGTCTATTAAATTCGGTCTGACACATTTGTGATTCCTGTGACAACACACCTTTATAGTCGTAATCATGATAGAAAGTGAAGTTGACAGTTCGTGTTGACATTCCTAGTAAACTTTTTCTATAGGTTGCCAGCATGCGTTAGTGCTTCGATTGCGTCAGCTGGGATAAACGACAGGGTCGTATTTAGAAAAGTGATATACATTTCAGAATAAAAATTTATTTTCAATTTCTTTAAAGGAAGTTAATAAAATCCAAAAATCCAAAAATTAGAGTCCAAAGTAAACACTTATAAAAAGAGTAAACACTTAAATCCAAACTAAAACCAGGTTTGAAACGCAACACCGAAACACAAAGGCAGAGAACACTAAATAAAAAACCAAAAAACCGATTGCGATAATAACAAATAAAAAAATAATGCAGAAAACGGCAAAAAACTGAACGTTTTTACACAAAAATTCGAAATTTAAAATTCAAAGACCCGAATCTGATATTTTAATATGTCAAATCAAAATGTCATGTGACAGGTAACAGGTAAAGCTGAAATTATTAAGGATAAAACATTATGGGCCGATTTATTCACCTTCTGATTTCAGTCAGGTATGCAATCTGAGGGATAAAAGCATAATCTGTAATCCCATTGGTCGGCCAGGTATCCGCTCACCAATAGAATTAATGAATGGTAAATTTATCTTGCAGATAGTTACCAGCAAGTTTATCTGAAGATGAATAAACCGGGCCTGAAATAGAAATAGCTATCGGAAATCAAATATTTTCCAAGAGAATAGACATAAACAATGCGACTTTTCCAAAAATCATACAAGAAACAGGGTGTTCCTTTCAAAAAACAGTTCGTCCATGGCATTAGTGTAACTGTTTGGTTTTTGGTTCAAATGATTTTTCTCGGATTTTTTGGTACCATTTGTGAATTCTCGAGAAAAAAAAACTCCAATTAGCTAATCTAAATTTTTTCAAAAAATACAGGGAAGATCCAAAATAAGCCCCTGTTCAGTACTTGGAACACCCTATACATAACTGTATTTTCAGCTTGCTTTTCAGTGAAATTTTTTCAAAGTGTCTATGCTTCAAGTCAGGCTTAATTATAAGGATAGGAACTTAGAAAAAGAGGGTTCTTTGTACTCACCGGCCATTTTCAATAGTAACACTTATAGAATCGCCCTGGCCCAGCTTACCATTAGGCGTGGTAGGGCTGGTGGTCCCATAAACCTTTATGGCCTCGTCAGTTTCTTCCTCGAAAGCATCTTCAATAGAAAACCTTTGCTGTTTAGAATTTTGCCTTGAAAATTGAGAAGACATTTTCGGAGCAACAAAATTTAGTGATTCTCTTTTGCAGTCCTGCTGTTAACTAAACTAATTGCGTTCACGTCATTTTGGACGCTATGTGTAAATAATAGTTGAGCATTTATTAATTAGCTTTGAAATAATTCAAGTTTTGGAAATAAATTCAATAAATTTAGGTGTTGTTTAGATATAGAATGTTTTGTTTTTATATGGTGTAGTCAGGCAGTGGTCACTGTCAACAGTGTCAAAGCTGTCAACAAGAAGTGATTAGGAGCTAGAGGTTTTCATTAGGCTGTTCGATTGTACTTGCTCTACTTGCTTGAAAAATCAGGAACATCTGCTAGGAGCTGCTATTTATGAGCTTTGTATGTGGGACAATTGATCGCCGATTAGCTGCTGAGATCTGTTTGAAGCAAGAAAAGCAGTACAAATGAACAGCCTACATCTGTATCTGAGACCTGGAGCCGTTTTCTATTAGTTGTATTTCTTTCGAGAGTTTAAAACACTAGAGCTACTCGCTCCGGTGTAAGTCGACCCCGATTTGAAAGGAACAGGTGCGCCGGCTTTAATAGCTGGGTTCGGCTTGCACATTCCGTGCACTCCGAGTGACTCCGTTCGCACTCCAGCTGTTCGGGTATTGCCTTTTAACGAATCAGACAACGGTTAGAGTGCGAACGGAGTCACTCGGAGTGCACAGAGTGTGCAAGCCGAACTCAGATCGTGTATTTAATTAGTCTTTTTCACGTGGCTCCGGTTTAACAAACCGCAACATACCGCTCAAATTCGAGTGGTATCGAAGATGTCACTTTGTAACCGGGTTAGAAAACAGTATGTCATTTTTCTAACCGCCTCGGCGATATGGTTATGTCGAGCAGTTAGAAGAAAAAAATATAAACAACTGAGAGCAGGAAAGTTCGGAAAAGTGAAAAAACTAAATAAAAAGTTGTGTTTTATATATTATTATATTTTATGAATATGAAGCCCGAAAGCCGTTTTCCCTTGTATACAGCCTGATTTAAGTAGCCTGTGCATTAGAAATTGTTCAGTTTGCAGGTGGATTAGCAATAAAGATGTACCAGAGACAATCCCAGTACACCTACTTGATGGGCTGTTGTAGTGTAGGTAACGAGAGCTTATAAACTTTAGATGAACTGGTTCTAGTAGGTCTCTCCACCCATGGTCCACATCTGAAGCATTGAACGAAAAGAAATTAAACTACCTACTTTTCACTTTTTAGCTTGCTGTAATAAAAAGGAATGAAATACTGGATAATTCCACAATTTTGAAAAAAAAAACTTGCTTCCCTAACCGTTTTGTAACCCGGTTAGTTTAAATCAGAGCTGCTTTCGGGTGCCACCCTTTGAGCGCTCCTGAGTTACTCCGAAGTACTCCGGCTACAGTTTGACCCGTTCGGTTCGTTCGAGTGCAAAACGCATGGAGTATGACAGGTGTGAAGTGTTCCTAAAGGTACGGTTTGTTAAGGCCGTATCAGACGTGCCGTTGCCGATTCCGTTAACCGTTGCCGTTGCCGTCGCGGTTTCAATCACACTTGACGTGACTTGAAATGTTTATAATATCAAAATGTCGCAGCTAAAATATTCAAAGTACATCGCCGAACGTCATCGGAAAGTTTCTTCTGCCTTGCTGTGCTATATGATTATATTGGAAGAAGAGAAAAGAGAAATATCCAAACCAAAATCGGTTTGGGTGCAGTACCAGAAGCGATAAATTGCAAAAATAAAAAAGTGACGTTTAGACACATGACACATGCTGTTCATAAAGCGCTTTCATTGGCTACGGTTCAGAACGGCCTCGTAAAATTTAGACTCCAACCTAAACATACAACGGCAATCGCAACCAGAAGCAGTGATGTGCCTGTAGACAATGTCAACGTAAACAATTGATTGTCTACGCGTAGACAATTCGAATTGTTTACTTGAGCATTTGTCTACACATTGTCTACATGCGGCGTAAACCATAAATTATTTTAAAAAATTCGAAAAAAAATATCAAAAGTTACTATACTATCACTATCACTTCGATATCAGCATTCACTGATTATAAAATATCAGGAAAACCAATAATAAAATAAAAATAATTTAAAGAAAGGAAAGTGTGAGGTTAGAATTAAACGTCTTTTATATTATTTTACATAGTTGACACGTTGTCTACATTGTCTACATTGTCTACATTATCTACACGTAAAGTAGACAATGAAAGTCTACGTGTAGACGCACATCCCTGACCAGAAGCAGGTATATTTTGATTGGTCCAATTCTCAATCGTAATCGTTAATAGTAATCGGCAACGGCACGTCTGATACGGCCTTTAGGATAGTACGCGAAGCACAACTGACAACGTAAACGTCGTCATTGGTTCAAGTATGACGTACACCCGTCTTCTGACGTGAGAAAACGGGTGTACGTCATACCTGAACCTATGACGACGTTTACTCTCCTAACAAACCGTACCTTTAGAGCACCCGAAAGCGGCTCCAGAGAGACGTGAAAAGGTGAAAAGTGTCAAATGCTTGAGATACGTTTTCGGATACGGATACGAGGGTCGACGTGATGACCAATTCTCATCCTCCCTTACGTTGCGTTTTCGGTGGCATATTTGAAGCTACATCCTCAATCAATCTGGTAGCGAAGTGGCACTTGGCACGCGTGCTGGGAAATTGGGCGCGTTCTTTTATTCAGCAATGGATCCATCTGCTGCCAGCATTATGAAACAGACATTCCAATTTTCTATCAGCTAGACAAAGAAAGGCTGATTACTGATGGATCCACTGCTGAATAAAAGAAAGCGCCCATTGATACCCATCCTCAATGCTGTCAATTTTCAGTCTGCTCTGCGTGTAGTACGGTCAAATACCGTGCGTTCGGTATTTTGATCTGAGTTCTCTGAGCATGAATTTTCGTTCGTTTATTTAAAAAGTGTACTCAGTGCAGGCTCATTCACGTTCGTTTAATAATATTTCGAGCACTGCGATACAGCGTTTAACTGCTCTGTGCACTCACTGGCCACGTGATTACGGCTCCGCTCTGCACGATCTGCTCTTTGAGCAAAATACCGAACGGGAGGAAGGATAAGCTTGCACTTCAGAGTCGGCGTGCATGCCAGCACGGAATTGAATTGAGGATGCCAACGTTAAACAACATTTTCCTAGCTTACGTGCCGAAGTGCCACTTCGCTACCAAATTGATTGAGGATGGGCCTTAACGCAAATAAATCTAATGTGCGCATGCTTACTTATGTTACGTCTTTACGGTTACGTTACGTCCATTGTAAAATACACTTTGACGATACGGACAACGCAACGAAACCATCATATCTGCTCTACGCATGCGCAGATCGATGCGGATACGGATAAGTTTGAAATTCAGGACCTGCTTAAAGTGTTTATTGAGAGATCTTCCTGTGAGTTATCACTAAAATAACTTTAAAAACATAAACACAGTACTTATAGATAAAAAGAAAACCTACAAACACGACTACAAAATCAATACATCACTTATTTTTGAGGTAAGAAAACGTTTCATCTGCTTAAAAAGACTTTTGGGCGGTCAACGCATGTCCATGTGTTTACGGCTGCGGATACGTAGAAAAATTTAGGGTTTGCTTTAAAGTGTCTGATAGATTGTCTGGTAACGGGTAAGACGGGTAACTTGATGACGCATCTGGGGGCCTTAAGGAGTTTTACATTATGTTGAGGCATACAGATGACGTCATAAAAGTTATCAGGCAAACTTCCTCTTTTTGAACAACCTTGATCCATTGTATTATTCTTGGGCCGAACCCGCCAAATTTTAAACTGTCGAATGTCAAATGATTTTGAATAACCGATCGCTATTAGTTGTATTCCTTTCAAGAGCTTGAAACACTCGAACTATTCGCTCTGGTGTTCAGTCGCCCCCGATTTGCAGGGAACAGATGCGTGGTGCAAGCCCCGGAGCTGTTCCGGAGCTCCTCCTAGGTGTGAAAGGAATACTAGTCTGGCAAGTGGTAACTTGGCAGAGACGAAAGGGGGAATAAAAGTGAGGCGTGACCTAAAAATATTCACCAGAGATAAATATTCACTGACACCTCAACTGACACCGCCTGATGACAACCATGTCTTTGAGTTCAGTGGCACCGAAAACACTAACCTTGCGTTCGGTATTTTGCTCGAAGAGCAGAGCGTGCAGAGCGGAGCCGTAACCACGTGACCAGCGAGCGAACAGAGCAGTTGAACGCTGTATAAAAATGCCAGAAATTTTAATAAACGAACGCGAATGAGGATACACCGAGTACACTTTTTGAATAAACGAACGGTAAAGTCAAGCTCGGAGAACTCAGACCAAAATAACGAACGCACGGTAAGGAAATAAACCAATAAAATTATTAGAAAAAAAAACTCTAGTTTCGCCGATAACCACGCCACTGCGTGCTGTGGTTCAGACTCTAACCAATAGAATCATGCCTCTGAATAATCACGCCTCTCCACATCCATCGTTTCGCAATGTTGCCGGATTTTTTTCTATTTCAAAATATTAGGTTTGTTCCAACCGGCAGTAATTTCCAGTAATATTACTGGCACACATGCGCAATAGGGAATTCTCATAAGAAATAAATATGGCTTATTTTGTTTTTATGGTGCACATTTTTGTGTAAAATATTGAATATGAGCAGTTTTGTATTAAATTAATGGATATTATAGTCATATGGCAATTATTAGTTTTGAATTGAAAAGTTTCGCGCGGAAAAGTTACGTTTGACATGGCCGCTTCCAGTGACGTCAACTGTTCGTAATTTAAGGTTAAGGGTAGTTTACACTAATCGTAAATCCACGGTTCACACTTTCGTGTGAAATGTGAAATGCTGTTCCAACCAGTTAAAATTACTAATTTAGAATTGGCGATAATTGACAGTTCGTCGTTCCAACTGGAGTTACGGATAGTAAAATCACGGTTCAAACGATTCTTGCTTGAAAGGAAGAACTGTTGGTTCTAAAATTAGACGCATGCGTAGTGAGGCCGAAAACGGGTCAGTGGTCGAACAACAACGAACATAAATGATAATACATAACCCACAACCTTAGTTTTTTGTTTATTTAAATTATTTATTTGAAAATGACTGCTATAGAAGCTAAGTAATTTTATTTTATTTGTTCTCAGAGTTAATAAATCTGTTTTTTGTCTTGTATTAGGTTTAGAAGAATTCCTTATTGTGGTGGAAGATGATTCAGCTGCAAATATGCAAGTGCAAGTTATGTTGATTTTGTTATTTTCATCTCGTGTTGTGAGTACTACTAGTTCAAAAAACGTTCCAACAAGTTTTAAGTTATTTAGTATATTAATGTTTTTGATTGCGCAGTCGCATTAGCGCGGAAAACTGTATGCAAAATAATTTAAAATGTGTCCTATTTTATAAAGAGTACAAATTTCCTTTCTTTACAGTGTAAATGTACTTACAAGATATTTATTACTTGTAAAATTCTACTGGCACACACGTAATTACTGAAACATTAATTTTACGACTTGACTTTATGAACCCGAAATTTTCGCACTGCCTCTTTGAAACTTTTCGTACTATCTTCGACTTTGGACTCTGCTTGTTGTGTCTGACACTTGACTGACCGTTCTGACTGTTTGCGAGTCGCCTGCGCGCATACGTGCCATTTCCGAGAAAAGTCGTAGAGGAAAAGTTGTAGGACTTGATGTAAACAAGCCACTCACAAAGTATGGGCAACTACTATTGTACTCGCCGTCACGGAACAAAACTCAAAGCACCGAGTACCGAGAGCAAAAGTTCAGTCGAATCGAAATCGCCATAATAGGACGTTGGTCTATTTTGCGTTCGCTATTTTGCTCCAAGAGCAGTGCGTTCAGAGCAGAGCCGTAATCACGTGACCAGCGAGTGAATAGAGCAGTTTAAACGCTGTATCATCAGAGGGCGCGAAATTTGAATAAACTAATGTGAATGAGCCTGCTCCGAGTACACTTTTTATATAAACGAACGTTAAATTTATGCTCGGAGAACACAGGATCAAAATACCGAACGCACGGTTTGGATCGGATCAGTGTTTCCCTAAAATCCCTTTTTTGATTGAATTTTGTTTTTATCCTATTTCTAAACATGTGTGTTACTCAAAACAATGGAAAAATTTAAAAAGTCCCATGAAAGCACATGTAGTAACAAAAAAACTAAATTAAAGAAATACAGTAAAAATTCCAGAACAATCAATAGGAGAAACAGAAGGAAGAGAAGTAAAAAAGCTTATTTCAAAATGCTAAGAAAAGAAAGGTATTCAAGGGGGACACTTGAGCTTTGCAACAGCTTACAAGAATTTAGTGTAGTCGACACGCCAATATGTAGCTTGAATGAATTACCTCAAGAAGTTATACAGTGGCACAATAAGGTATAGTATCTCAAAAAGTCTTCCAAAATTCTATGTTGTTTTTTCTACAGGATCAGGTTGCCTACTGGAAATCTCGTGCTATTTGCTTAGAACTGGAAAACAAAATGCTAAAGGATCATCTTAGGAATGTCTATGCTCAGCAAATTGAATATTACGACCAAAACAAAGAGTGGCAAGAAGTTCCTCCAGAAAATGATGGAAGAACTATTGCAAATGAACATAACAGCTCGAGTACTTCAATTGAATCAGAAAAAAAGGCTGACAAAGTAAAAGTAGTTCCAAATGTACCCCCAGGCAAACATAGATTACGAGAAATGGAGAAAATATATGGTGATAGGGCTGCTAAAGTCATGGGCATGGAGACAGCTCTCGAATTGAACTATCAAAAATTACTTGAGGATGAGTGCCCTATTTACTGGCCAAACATGCCTTTAAAATTATGAATGAATGTGTATGGGTAATTAGCTGATAAATTAATCAAGAATGAATGTGTGTGAAACTTGTTCATAATTCTTGTGTATAAATTTTTTTCCTTAAAAATTATTTATAAATTATTGGGATAAAGGATGAAACATTGCATGAAAACCTTTTTATTAAAATTTTTTTATTTTTAATTCTAAAATTGTATAAGTATGAAAAACATCAATGGTATTGAAGTATTACCCACAGGTATCACAGAATAATAATAATTATTACACTGGTAGCTTTCTCCTTCTTTGGGAATGTAACCAATCTTTAAGCTGAGATACCATAAGTCCACCTAAAATAATTTGAGTAGGATGATATACCAATAAGGGTAAACTAATTTGACTTAAATGGGAATATCCATGAAACATAATTTTTAAAATTGGAATGCCTGAAAATAAAAAAAAAATATTAAGTTTTGATACAACCTTTATTAGAAAAGTAAATTTACCTAAGGTAAGAGATTTGTGAGTTGAACAAAATACTATAGCAATTACGTCTGCAGGTGTGAATGATTTTTTCATTGAACTTGATATCTTGAAGCTTAATATTATAAGAGCAATTTGTAATAGTAATACTGAAAAAAAAAAAAATTAATCAAACCACTTTTGTCTTTATTGTATAAGTCCTACCTGAAAAAATAGTGAAAATAACATCCAAAGCTGATAACCCAGTTTCTGGTACCAGAAATGTATCACAAAATGTGGTGTATATCACAAAAAGCAAAGCGCATTGGCTAATTGTATTTAATGGAATCTGATGCCCCCGAAATGATGTCAAAGTTTTAATCGCTTGACCCAGAGCTAGAGGAAGTAGTACTGTACTAGTTAATTGCATAACTGTAGAGAAAAGAGGTACAATTGTAGTAGATCCCAACTAGAAATATGTGATTTATTGTAATTGAAAATTACAAAATTGACCTTCTTACATTTAATAATAAAGACAAAGGTGTTATGATAATGCCCAAAAAGCTACCTATAACTGAATTAAAAATTGCTGCAGTTTCGTTTCCTTGCGCTGCTCGGGTTAAAATAACTGCACTACTAACTGGGGGAGGCATACATGCAACAGTTACGATGCTACAAAAATAGAGATTAATATTGAAGAGTATTCAAACAATTAATTGTTACCCTTTAAGTACCCATCCATTAATACCGAACATAGTCAAAAACTTGATAAAACATTGTGCGTAAATTGGAATAAGCACAAAAGTAAAAAGTTGTATAAATAAATGCAGTTTATATTGCCTGAATGTGTGGATAATACTGTCGGTTTTCAATGAGAATCCACTTATTAGGAACATAAGCGATACTGCGCCATATTTAACAGAAAATTCCGTTTTTAATGGACCTAAAATCGTAATTAGGTATTGTAGGTCGGGTAGATGAAATCGAAAATCAAAGATACCTTCTTTGGACCCTAATTTTGGATATACTCCAGCTAGACATATGCAAGCTAGTATTGCAACTAGAAGCCAGTTCTTTTTTAGAAAGTCTTTTGGAGTAATTCGTTGCCGCATCCTGATAATTTGCCCCCTTTTTGAAATTTGTAATAGGTTACATCTTTAAACAATGTACAATAATTTCTGTAATTGAAGAAGAAGAAAATGGAAAATGTAAGTCGGTACTTAAAAATAACAGACCAAAATACGATTCTCTTGGACCAACAAATTTACAAAAGTAGTGAGGTTATGATGGGACTGAGGCAAACATATCAGTGTTGCCAATCTGAATTTGTGAAATTACACGATATTCTAGTCAAATTACACGTTTTTACACGCTTTCAGTTCTCACAATTACACGAAAACCCACAATCTTGGTAGGTACCTATTTTGTAACATCTGAGCCGTTCTTGCGTCTACTTTTTCGACATTGGTTCAAAACAGTTTTGAAACGAGCAATGGTGTTACCATTGCCCGTTTCAAATCTGTTTTGAAAAAAGTGGACGCGAAAAAACGACTCAAGCCTGGAAAAGATTTTACTTTTGGGCCTCAGTTTCCTGCAAGGATACTGCACACTACTATTACAGGATAGCCTATCCTCATAAGGCCTATGTAGGTCAAATTTCGAGGCCCCCTGGCATGCCGAAGCACCAGTGATGACGTAGGAAGTGTGTCGTTTCTCGTCTTAATATAGGGTGTATGCACCACAGTGGCGGACCTAGGACCTTTGGGGCCCGACGCAATTTTTTTTTTTTGAGGCCCTGTCATGCTTTTTTTAAGGTATTTTTCTTGTGGTGTTGGGCTGTAAAGTGAGTGTGCGGAAGTTATTTATATTTTTGTTTTTAACAACCAAATATAGAAATAAATTTAATCAAAAAACAAGTTTATCAAGAACATATGAGACAGAAAACAAGTTAAACGAAAACATTTTTATAAAAATTCAAGAACTTTTTATCTAAACAAAAAGAAATACATCATAGTAGTACCGCACTGCACTGATACTGACCGTACTTCACCGACAAGTGCCATAAAAAGTTTGGAAGACAATAGGCAATTTTTTGCGAGGATAACCAAGCATAATCTTTTGCTGGATTATATGATGTGTCATTTGTGTCATACTCCCCTAACTCATCCCCCACCATCAAATTCTAGGATACTCGAGGATCAAGAACTCCTAATTTCTTCTGAGAGAACAGACCGAAAATCACCTTTTCTTCATTTAAAATCGACGAAAAAATTAACACTAGCACAGCCTGAATAGCAAGCATTCCATCGAGGTCTGCGGGTGACGTCATCACTACAAGCGGCTGATAGTAGTGACGTCACTCGCAGGCCCAGAATTTGACACATCACATAACCTAGCATAATCAGATTATGCTCGATTATCCTCGCGAAAAATTGCCTAATAGCAAAAAAGCCGCCTAAAGTCGACGCGTCCGCGGTTGCCGCATTATCGCGTCGAGTGCATCAGGGTTGGGATCACGACATTCTATTAGAATTTCTCTTTTATGACGTCAGGTTGCCTAACAATTGTCATTATCGCCTGTCATTGAAGTAAACAAACACTCTGGAACGGGCGCACTGCTTTATGCTAGTGTGCCGAATTTTGATATATGCAACTCAGCAATACAGAGGGATTGTTGTCTCGCTCGCACTCATTGCGATTAACGTAAAAGAAAGAAGAGCTTCTTCATCTTCCTAACCTCAATGATCCAAACACTTCAAACCAATGAACTATAGCTAAAAACTGGAATGCGCACACATTGCCATATCTGCCAAAAAAATGAAGCCATGAAAGACAGATGCCACAAGGGGGAATGTTGTTTTTTTCTGTTGCTCGCTGACATATGACGTTTTCGAAAGTTTTGTCATATTTTCCTTCACAGGTTTCATCAATTGGAATACGTGTTGGAAGCAATTTTTGCCATTTAACATAATGAGTGCGACAAAAACAGGTATCCCCTCCGCAGCAGCCGCACTAGGCTTCAAGTTCGTCCTTATGTGTTAGCATTCCAGTTTTTGGTTATAGTTCATTGCTTCAAACAGCTGTTCTCAATAGCCGCCATAGTGCAGAGAGAGATGCAAATCCCACTTGTTTGTTGTCCTTCCTGGCACAAACCCCTGCATAGGGAACATTATGCAGCCACCGTTCCAGTGTGTTTGTTTAGTTCATTGTCGCCTGTACTGTACGCGATAAATGTGTCGCGAATGACGTCATGAAAGTGGAATTCTACTTGTCATGATTCCAGCCCTGGATTCCCTACAAGGCCTTTATTGTCGAAACAGGAGATAAGCGTTCTGTCTTAGTTGCCCATATTTTTATTTCCATAACACTGACAAAAACAAAGCAATATCGTTCTTTCTCGTGAGAACGCTGTGCCCCGATTTCAAGAATAGGCATCCTGTTATACAACGTTGCTGTCTCTTTCAAAATTTAATTTTCGTTTCTTTTTTTATATCTACGAGTTTATTTTTTTTTATTTGTTTTTATCGGTTCCTTTAGAATCTGGTTGTGTGGGGGCCCCTCAGCTCTGGAGGCCCGACGCACAGTGCGTCGTTTGCTTCATGCTAGATCCGCCACTGATGCACCACGGGTTATGATTCCGCGGGCTTTTACTTCATGCAAACTTGGTTTTACTCTAAGGTTTTACTACAATTACTACAGTAGTTAACATTCTAAAACAACTCTTTTTCATATCTCGTTTACATCTTCCTTTTCGCTTATTATGTTAATCAAAATTTAATATTTTTCTTCATAAAGTTAAATTCGAAACTACGCCCGCTGGCGTAAACAGCTGTCGACTTAGTTAATGACGTCGGCAATTGACCGCGATCACCAAAAACGAGGCCGATAAGCAATCCTTAGAAGTGTGTATTATCCTTGGACATATGGAATCACTTTAATTTGACCGTTGATTGATTTGAGAGAAAAAAGATGATGGAATGGAATGCAAGGATAAGGGAAGAGAAACCGTCAAGTCCTATTTATGTTCCAATGGGGTCGTGGCTTTAGATTGAAAAGCCGTGAAACATAGAGAAATATAATAGTAGTAAATTATGAGAGACGTTTGTTTAATGTAAAAATCTGGAAGTGTGTTTGTGCACATACCCGTAGCGTATTTCGCATGGTGTGGCAGATTATTGAATTAATTACTTCGATTGTTTCTGACAACTCGGTTTAATTTGTCTTTGTCAGCAACTTGCCCGAAAATGTTCTATCTTTTTTTAACACATACAAAATACAAAATTGTCAAAATTTGACAAATTATTGAATCGTCTATGATTGAATCCGAAGACCATCAATCAAAAACTGAATGCTCATCATCATAACTTAAAATTTCTTTTATTATTTATATTAGAGAAATGAGAAAACATTCTGTGATCATAAATATTAATTAATTAGACAAAACCGACACCAATAATAGTGTGTTTTCGAATTTGCGATGATGCGAGATGCAGTAAAAAGGTAAACACAACACAAAGCTTATAATACAAACATTTTTAGTTACTGTATATTTATAAAATTGGAATAACAAAATAAGTTTGTTTAAAAATATCTCAATTTTTGTATTGTTCAATTACCTCCTTGACCGCCTTAAAGAATCTCATTGCATCTAATTTGAATTTTTTAAAAATAAGTTCTGTTATCGCTCTAAACAGTTGCTCGGTAAATTTTAGCAAGTTTTTTCAACGAATGTTTTGCTTTGCAATTAACTGTTTTGAGCGTTTACAGTACTTTATTTTTAATAAATCATAAATAAAATCAAAGTTAATAATTTAATTATTCAAAAAAGCCGCCTTTCCACTGTCGGTAAAGAAGAAACCTGCATTTAAACAATGTTCACCCTTTTATTGCTGTCCGTAGCCACCAGAGGCGCTAACGTCGACATTGTGCCAGTTAAGTACAGGGGAATGACTTCTCTCCTAGTTTACTACTATTATATTTCTCTATGCCGTGAAACAGAAAAAAAAAAAGATGTCAAATTTTTCAAATTACACGCAAAATACACGCTTTTTGTTGTGTTCGAAAAATACACGCAAGCCAATCAAAATACACGCAAATCGTGTAATTACACGCTTATTGGCAACACTGAAACATATTTGACACTATTTGCCCTTGCCCTGAAATGTCTACTCTGCACTTGCCACTTAGTGCTAGAAGGTGTAACATTTTCTACACCGGCAATAAAAATGGTGTAGTGAGTGTAGTATACCTCAGAAAAGGCGCGAATCTGTTGATGGATAGGGCAACTATGGTAAAATCTCTACGCTCCTTAAATTCATCAAAACTGGGATTACTCGGAAGAAAACCCTATTTGGACAAAGCAATTACATATTTGCAAAAATTCCAATTTCTTTGGAAATTTTTAGTTTTCCACTAACTTTCTAAGTTTTAACTACGAAGAATACAATGGTTAGGTCTTCAGTAAAACTATCCCAGTATGTCAAAGTTGCGCACTATGAATGAATGAATTAGGGGTATTGTTTCTTTACACTGCTACCTGCATAAAGATCTATTGTGCTCCTCTTGTGGGTGATACACTTAGTAATTCTCACTCAAAGGAACTCAAAGCACCTCATCCAGCTTTAAAGCTTTTATGAACGTGAAGTAAGCTGGATTGCCTCCTCGCACTCTGTGAGAAGGTGTTTTGGAGTTTCCTTCCCTTCCGCACAGAACCGGCAGCTGTTTTCGTTTCTGATTTTAATAATTATCTCAAGGTCCCCTTCTAACCGGCAGTAGCCTGTAAGGAATCCAGTGAGAATCTGAAGATTGTTTTCACTCAGTGATGTGAACACTAGGGGTCAAAATGTAGAAAACTATAGTAATTGTATTTATGTTTCTCATGATCGAATAAAGAATATATCTATCTATCTATCTAAAGTCTTTTGATCTGCTTTGGTGAGGGGGTCCAAGAAACATTTCTGATTGCCTCAACCCTGGAAGCTGTTCCCATAGACTGATCCAGTTGGTTCGCTCATTTTCCAACGCTTCCTTATAGGTATGTACGTCCCAATACCACAAAAAGGCTCTGGTCCTGAACGCGGAGTTTGTGCTCCCAATTTGCCAGTGCCTACTGAAAGGAAAGTCTCTGCTCTCCTTGTGGCAAACATCTTACACATCCATCGCGATATTGTGTCGTTGACTCCCCTTCTCGTTAGTGCTCTCTGAATGGCCACATGAGATGTGTTGTCAAAGGCACCAGCACCTTTCTAAATTCTTGTATCATGCTCGTCACTTGGAACAGTGCTGTCTCAATGGATCTGCTTGCTTTGTAGGCGTGCTGCATTCAAAGGCCATCTTTCCACTATTGCACTGTACGGGATCTGATATTTTGCATGAAAGTGCCTTGTGAGACCCCAATTCAGAAACTTATATGATGTTGAATTGGCGAGCGGCAGCTTTTGTTTCTGAGTGGAGACACAGATTGATATGGGTCCTATTTGCGGGTGTGAGAGTAAAACACAACTGTGGACTATAATTTTAATATGATTTTATTTGAAATAAATTTATCGGGCGTCGGCCAGAAAGGCTTGAAATATAATAACCAAAATTTTTACTCTGACTTATTTAAAATTTCACTCTTTTCTCACAAATACCTTAATTCTATCATAAAAATTCCAATAGGTAAGTTTCGTATCAAAAGTTTGCCTTATCCAAAATAATGTTAAATTAGAAAGTTCAAATTTTTTTCAATTATCATTCACGAAAATTCCAATTCAAAATGTTATAAATAATTATGAATAACGAAATGTTTCAATAAAAAAAGTTCTTTTACAAAATATAGTTTCAAATTTTCTTATTTTACCAACTATTAATCATGAAATATCATCTTAAAAATGTTTTAATTTATTTTGGGATAATTATTTAACTTTCGTAAATTTATCAATTCATTAACTCTTTGTCCTATTTTATAAAGAGTACAAATTTCCTTTCTTTACAGTGTAAATGTACTTACAAGATATTTATTACTTGTAAAATTCTACTGGCACACACGTAATTACTGAAACATTAATTTTACGACTTGACTTTATGAACCCGAAATTTTCGCACTGCCTCTTTGAAACTTTTCGTACTATCTTCGACTTTGGACTCTGCTTGTTGTGTCTGACACTTGACTGACCGTTCTGACTGTTTTCGACTGACACTTTTGACCGTTCTTGACTGAAACTTCTTCTGAATCGACATTGATGATCTCAACTGAAACCGCGGTATTTATATTATTCGATTCCCCCAAAATTTCTTTGTCCATAACAATTAAGATGATGCAATCTTCTTGAAATTTTTGTCATTTTTATTTGTTTTATGTCGCAATTTCCTGATTTTATCGGGGTCACGGATATTTTTGGTTCAAGAATGCCATAAATCATCGATTTAATTAGGTACGATGGCCTCGCTTAAAAAAGTTCATTGATATATGATTAAGGAGATGACATCACGCTGGACGAAATAATATAATTTCGAATGTATTTGGGGTCACGGTAATTTGTTCCATTTTCAATTTATCGATAGGTACTGATTTGGAAATACTGGAAATTCAGTTTTTGATTATATTTAATTTTTTACAGTGCCCTTCTCCATATTTCAATTATATGGTTATATCTACAAGGTGCGGCAGGATCTCTGAAATTGCGCACTATTTCTGGCTCTTGATTCTCATGAAAAGTTTCCTAGAGGTAATCAAAAGATTTGGCAATCAAGAGTTGTTAATTTTAGACTATAAGCAGCTCTTGATTGCCTCTAGAAAATAATACAATACTCAAAAAAAAATTAGGATATGCAGCATTTTTTCAAACTTTATTCCAAATTAGGATTCCGTAAAGGTATATGCCATGTATCAGATATAGACTTAAGTAAGGGACACAGTTCGTTCAAGCTCATGTCTGAACAACTTGATTGTGAAACATCCAGGTGACATTTTGATAGTTCATGCTCTTGAATGTATTGAAAAAAAAATCAGCATCAATAAAAATCAATAACATAAAATTAGTTCAAATCAACCTCTGGCTCTAAATACCAAAGATTAATGGGAAACCTCTAAATTGCAAACAGTAAATGGAGAAAAAAAAAATATATTCACAACAAACATACAATTTATTTCAATAAAGAAACAACTGCATACAAATTAGTTATAATAAGTTTATAATTATATACATTCAAAATTAATATAAAATTGTATAAATAAATGCACCTTTAGAAATAGAGGAGACTAAAAGAATAATTGTCATTTTGCCAGATAAATAAGGATAACTCTCTACATTGATATGCTCTTTATTTTTTCACAAGAAAGAATATTAAAAATAGACTGAAAATGTCAAATACACATAGTAGAACCAGCTACCAATTCAGTTTCATTCTACATTCACTAAATACATTTTTGGTATAGTCTTATTTATATTTCTTGGACACAAGCAACAAGCATACAAGTACTTGCTGCTTTATTTTTGATTTTTGGAAACAAAAAAAAAAACATAAGGACACTAAAAGGCAAGCATCCAAGATCTAGAAATAAGAACTTTTTTCGGCAATAAAGATATAAAACTTGACATTAGACTCTAAAAATATAAAATTTGTATTGAAACAAAGGAAAAAACTGTTAATTTTAACAAACAGTATAAGGTATACATACATTTATTAGTATAAAATTTTATTGTTTTAAATACAGTAGAGCCTCGATCATCCAGTCTATCAGAATTCATTTTTTTTTAAAAAAACATCAATAATTTTCAAGGACCTTAGTCTAATTGAAGTGAATGCTTCTCTATGAGAAGCAACTAGAATTTAAGATATGCACACAATTGCCCAAAATTGGTTGCATATCTACATGAAATCAATCACTTTCTCAAGCAAATATGCAGTTTGGATACTGTATTATGGACTAATAGTGTTTTTGTTGTTCAGTCGAGTCGTCCTTTTACAAAGTCGAAATTAAAAAATTGAAAAGTGTTCAAAATAAATTTATGAGCATTGCAACAGGTGTTTAGCAGGATGTATAACAATTTTGCTATCTTGTTTGCAACAGATTCTAAATAACTTTGTGGACTGTGGTGACCTGTTAGAATTGATAAACTTTAGACGGCCTACTTATACAATAATGTCTCAGAACTATTTGTATTGAACCATGGCCAAACTGATAGTGACAGAAATAGTATACCACTGAAATATGAAATTTTCATTTATTATTCAGCGTGATATAGACCACTACGATTAGAATTGCTTTTTGGTGCCACTATTAAATTTAACTTAGTGTACCTTTTATTTAAAATATTATACTGTACTATAACTGGGCAATGGCGGAATCCTGTGATATGACTATAAATCATTAAATAAAAATATATATTAAAGCAAATTATTTAAAATATTATCTCACATATCAAAGATTCAGATGTATTCGTTGTAGTATTGATATGTATTGTATTGTTATCCAAATATTCACTACTTATACCTGTTTGCACAGTTTTTGCAGGGTATCCGAGACATAAGGATTTAAAATACTAGTAATGACAAATTTAGTAGCAACATGAAAAATTGAGATGGTGCGATAAGATAGTACAAGTTCTCTCTGCAAAACTGCATATTATATTTTTCTGCTGACACCACAAACAAATTTTTGGCAAGTGATTTTAGCCTAAATAAAAAGGGAGTAATTTTTATATGCCTAAACACCCCCAAACCAAAACCTCCTAACCATTAAAGGTATAATAATTAGTAGTGATTTTTGTATAACCCTTAAAAAATTATTGAAAAAATATATCATTCCCCCCTATTAAACAATCATGCCAAAATCAGTTTGTTCCAAATTTGTTTTGAAATTCGAGAATTTCAGGCAACTACAATAAATTTTGTGAAAATATACTACAAAACAAATTAATATGTAGGTATATGAATTCCAATAACGAGAAGTAATGTCTGTCTAGGTTCTACTGTACTGTTGCGAATATCATAAAACTTTATCACTAATTAAAAAAAAAAATATCTAAATTTAACTAAATAACATATATTGGTAATATATTTACATCAATTATCATTTTTGGTTGGTTATTTACAGATTTCTTCTCTATTAACCAGTTAAAAAACAAACTTTACACATACTAGACGATTTTACCTAATATCAAATAAGTAATCAGAGTACAGTTCACTAAAAAAATATTTCACACTCTAACCTCTGCCTTAATAAGTGCAGTTAATATGGAAAACCATTTTAAAAATGCTTGGATAATAATAATTGATTGAACATATTAAGCCTTCAGGTAGGGTGCAAAATATTCAAAGAAAAAACCTGTACCTATTGGGTGAATTTGTCTCAGTATTACACAAATATGAAATATAAAAACCTAATAAACAATATTATAAATTTATTTAATTCCGAGTTCACTTACCTAAAAACTAAGCCTCTTATTATATCAGATAGTATAGGATTGAATTTTGACAAAAGGAAACTTCTCTTTAAAAAATATATCACATACTTTTGGCTTAGCAAAAATAGCGCACGGAAGCGACTTTCGTCTACGTTTAGGGTTTAATTTATAATTCTACTACACTAAACACACGTTCAACTGTTCACACATATCCTCACATACCTCTGCTAACAGCACTTGCTTTTCTTCGATGATTTTTTCTTTTCTCTTAAATTTACTACATCTTTTTGGTCGTTTTGTCGCTCTCTCATTTCTAATTTTGACCTTAACACCAACCTAGTTATTGACATAAACATGTCTTCTACATTAATATTGTCTTTTGCTGATGTTTCAAATAATTTAATATTCATTGTGTCCGCAAATCTTTGAGCATCTTCTGTTAACACTACTTTTCTATCTGGTGTATCATTTTTATTTCCCACTAAAAAAAAAAAATATATTAATTAGAAACACATGTAACAATAATTATAAGTTTCAATTTACCTAAGACCCTATTAACTACTTCACAATTCTGATCAATTTCGTGTAACCATCTTTTAACATTCGCAAATGTTTCCCCATTTGTTACATCGTAAACTATTACTACCCCATGTGTGCCCCGATAATACCTAAATTAAATAGTTGTTAGTTAATTAATAAATATCCGTAGAAGCTAAGGCTTACGTGCTGGTAATAGTTCTAAACCTTTCTTGGCCAGCAGTGTCCCAAATTTGCAATTTAACTTTTTGCCCATCAATAGTGACAGTTTTTATTTTGAAATCCACTCCTATAGTCGTTATGTAACTTCCAGTGAATGTATTATCTGCAAACCGCAGGAGTAGAGAGCTTTTTCCAACACCTGTAATAAAATACAATTTCAGGCTAAAAATTAGTACCAAGTACAAGACTGTCTCAGAATCTAGTAAAAATATGATTCTCAGATAAATCTTTATGTCTTTGCCTCGGTCTTTGCAAACTTCAACATAGCAAGTGAAAATTTCTCTGCAACAAGTGAAACTATGTAGTGTATTTTCGAATTTATACTTTGCATCAAAAATATTGAGATAAAGCAAATCCTTTTTATTTAGTAGTAGAAAGTTAGGTTTTGCATTAAGTGGCTCTCCTTTTGAACATCCTTACAACTTTCATTTAAGAATACTGCTGCAAGATGATATCAATTCTTTTAATAAATGGTGTAGCTCGAACGAAATGGAACTCAATATGTATTGCCAAATATTATGAAATAACTTCTTCCAGGTTAGCCCAAACAGTAAAATTCCCGAGCAAATTCCCTTACATAATTAATAACACCTCAATCAGGGAAGTAGCAAGGATTCAAGATTTGGGAGTGGAATTTGACTCCAAGATGTCATTTAATGGCCATATTGCCAATACTATGTCAAGGGCTGTTAGATGTTTGGGCTTTATATGATATGTAGGTCCACCACTGATATGTCTGTGAGTATATTGCAAACATTGTACTGTATGATGGTTCGATCCATGTTGGAATACTCATCAGTTGTTTGGTCACCCCATTATGCTGTTCACATTGCAACTCTGGAAAGGATTCTGAATAGATTTCTAAAAGTGGCTGCTTACAGATTGGGTTTGGCTCATAATGAGCATACTTATGATGGGATAAGGGTTTTCTTGAGTGTTCATACCTTGCAAAGCAGGAGACTTCAGGTCGACCTTTCTTTCCTTCACAAACTTTTGAGAAAGTTAATAATTGACTGCCCAGATCTTTTCGGGTCTCGTTTCTTTGAAAGTAGGAGAAAGAAGGGTCAGAGGTTCTGACCTGTTACTAATACTAATTATGGTATGAATGAATCGATCTCAAGGGTGCTCAGGTTTGCCAAAAAGAGCTAAGGTAATGACGTCTTTGGTTGTTCATCTGTCTTCTGTTGTTGCCTTTAAAAGGTTACTGTTGCTTACTGGATAGTTCTTGAAATAAGTTGTAGGTATCTGTTTTTTGGAATTCACAGCAATTGAATAGTTATTAATTTAGTGAATTCATCAGGATCTTATTTGTTATGTGTTTAGGTTTACGTATGTTGTAAAACTATTTATTGTAAATTGTTTTTTATTATTGTTATTGTAAATTGGCCTTGCCGTAAATAAATAAATAAATCTCAGATAAGTAACTAACCACTGTTATATATTTCAAGTAAAATTAGGTAGCTTGTTTTTCTTGCTACTAGTATTTTAAAAAACTATTAATTTGTATTTATGTAAGTATTTGTTGAGAAAAAATTATTAAACAAAAAAAAAAACTGCTGTCTGGCTAAAATCTTGTAAATACTTTCTCCTTCAAACTGAATAGAGTTTGAGCCAGTTTGAGGAAATGCTTTGCAATAATACATAATTATTTTGCTTTATTTAACGTTATAATTATAAAAAATCAGGGTTTTTACAGAATGGTAAAAAAATGTGTTTCTCTATGTACAGTCAAGTCACAAAGGTAACCTAATATGACTGAATCTAAATGGAATGGTTTCGCCCACTCAAAACAATAATTGAAGCTGGATTGTATCACCGGAAATAAACTATTCTTGATAAATCCTTTTAATTTTAACTAATTTTCAACTCTCAAACCCCACCCCAAAAAGGCAATACAGTACTCACCACTGTCGCCTATGATTAGCAATTTGAATAAATGATCGTAGTCCCGGGCCATTTCTATATTATTCACTGGTTGCGGAAACTATTTTAACATTCACACCCACGTTTTTCAGTTCTTTTATTTTAAATAAACCAAAAGTTTCAAAAGTGTTTTTGGTCAAATGAAATGAAAAGTGAAATAAAAGACGAGACGACTTAACGATGACAAAAGTTTGACGGATGCCGGGATGGCAAAAGTATGACGGATAGATGCAAGGATATTATGGCTGTGTTCTTTTTTTAACTGGCAGTACTGAATTTCCGCTGTGCTGTTTTTACTGTATTTGTCGTTTCTTTTTCAACCAGCCGCTGCATTAGTTGTATTAGTTGTATTCCTTTCACATCTAGGAGGAGCTCCGGAACAGCTCCGGGGCTTCACGCCCCTATTCCTTTCGAAAAGTGTTTGTTGCACTACGCATCTGTTCCCTGCAAATTGGGGGCTCCTGAACACCGGAGCGAGTAGCTCGAGTGTTTCAAACTCTTGAAAGGAATACAACTATTCCTTTCACACCTAGGAGGCGCTCCGGAACAGCTCCTGGGCTTCACGCGCTTCTTCCTTTCGAAAAGTGTTTGTTGCACCACGCATCTGTTCCCTGCAAATTGGGGACTACTAAACACCGGAGCGAGTAGCTAGAGTGTTTCAAACTCTTGAAAGGAATACAACTATTACTGGTTGATTTTGGAACAAATTCCAGTAATTATTGACATTTGACCGGCGACAAAGCTGACCTAACCTAACAACATGATTATTTTATATTTTTTGTTTTTCTTTTTCAAGCTTTCTCCATAAATAATTTAATAGGGCAATCCAACGACCTGTCAAAATGCAATTCAAAATGGAGGCCAATGCCTTTTTATTTAAATAAAATGCCGTTTTATTGCGATTTTTGATTTGTAGAAAGTCTGTAAAGTGTTGATTCTTTGGAAAATGCATACTTTATGTATTGTACTTAGTTGTGGGAGCCGTTCTAATCGCGAGAAAGTCTGGTTTCATGCTGTTCCTGCAGAGACAAAACACAGGTTTTTAACGGAGAAAAATGATTTGTCTGTACTTTGTGAGGGCTTCATGGATTGTAGCAAAAGAGAAAAAATCTTACGAAATCCATATTAAAAAACCAAAAAGTCTCTCTACATAAATGGTGTATGGATCCCAGCCATTTACTATCCTCCACATCAGCTTGTGTCGATAACTTGAAAAGCAGACAAATAAAATAAACATCAGGATTTGGTTAAGAAAAAAATAAACAGGAAACAAAGCCTGGATAGTACCTACCTAATTGGTTAGTAGGTAAAGGTTTGTCAGAAATCATAACTTTTGCAAACATCCGAGTTTTCCACTAATAATTTCTTATGCCCGTATGCACCATTGCACAAATTCTCTGATTAAGACTTTAGCCGTGATCACATAATATTTTTCTTATGCACCAAGCGTTTTTTTCGCCTTATCGGCAATTAACTTGAATCGCTCGATGGCCTGGAGCTTAGGACAAGATAACCGCGGCTAGTTAATAAAATGAGGTTGGATGTTTTGTTTATTTGGTTCCGATTTCAAATTTCATGTTTACATTTTACAAACTATTTGTAAAAAAAAAACTGGAAAATTTGTGTGAGGTGATGAGCCAGGAAAAAAGAGAAATGAAATCAGGAATATGGAGTGGAAGACCTATTACTTGACGATGATTAATTTGGATACTAATGAAATTGTGTTAGATGGATTTCCGTTTCCAAGGCGTTGGAATGAGAGGGAAAATTATTTTGAAGCCTTGGATGATCTGATCTTATAAGCCAATAGTCGTAGATCATAGATCTTCTTGAAGAGGAAGAAGATGCCCTATCATTATTATAGGGTGTAGTACCTATATATCCTATGCAAATTTATGACTTGATTCCAATAACTAGGTAATGACTATGTAATTACTGTTTATTTCAAATAAAATGCCCTACATGCCCTGGATGTTTTGTTTGTTTGATTATAAAATTAAAATACATCGACAAAAACGCAGATATGACGGGTCTCGCCAACCCCACATACCGCCAACCCAAAATGGACTTTTATTAAAATCTATAGGAAATTTGCGAAGTTATCGGTGAGCTCCTTTCAGCTGGCCCTTATTACAAAATCACAATTAACTAATTTGAGTGCAAAATCCTTTGGTGCATCGAACCGACATTTTAACCGTGATTACATAATTATCCGTGATTAGCTAGACGAAAATACGTGAAAATCTTAGCTTAATGGTGAATAGTTGTATTCCTTTCACACCTAGGAGGAGCTCAGGAACAGCTCCGGGGCGTTACGCGCTTATTCCTTTCGAAAAGTGTTTGTTGCACCGAGTACCCAAAGTAAACCATAAATGCACGAAAGTCAGCGCATCTGTTCCTTTCAAATCGGGGTGACTAACACCGGAGCAAGTAGCTCTAGTATTTCAAACTCTTGAAAGGAATACAGCTACATACTGGAAAGCAGCTTATATCCTATCGGCGGTTAACTCTCGTACTCTCTCCGTTCCAGCGGCCGCACCGGTGCGGGTGATCCCGACAATCCCGAGCCGTTGATCGAAACGAGTCTGTCGGTGTAGTGTACTCCGTCTCTGACTCCGTGTCCCTACTCCGAGTCCACACTTTTCCTGTTCAACTGGCCCGCGCGGCGTGATCCGATTAGTTCGGGTTTGAGTCCGAGTCCGTACAACCATACGTACAACCTAGACAACGCAAAAGTGGTCCGGACTTGAACTCGAACTTGGACCGGACCTGTTTATTTTGCAGTGGATCAGTTCCCACTGTGAAGAACAGTTCCAGTATTTGGCCCTAATAATAGCCCATTTTGGGTTATATAAAATATAAAATTGAACTTTGCGCACGGAAACTCTTTGCGCACGCATAATTACCATAGTTATACTTGATTTTCCAATGTTTTGATGGTTTCTGAATAAACTAATACTCAAAATGCAGGGTTTAAGATGAAATTAGCGCTTAGTCAACGTGATGTTTCCTATCAAAGGTATCCAAATTGGACCGCCTGTACTGCTAGGAATTTGCAGAATTTTTGATATCTAAGAGACTCTCATGAAAATATTCTAGCTGGTATTCTAGAAATTCCAGAAGATGTTAAAAGATTTTTGGGGATTTAATTTAAAAGACATTCTGAGGAATTCCAATAGATTTTAAACGATTTTTGAAGATTTTGATTTGATTGATTTTTCTAATATTTTAACAATTCAAAGTCTACTTTTTTAAGATACTCGTAGAAAAAATATTGTTCCTAACACTTGCGCAAAGTGTCTTTCCCGCACTCAAAGCTTATCCGAACTCCGCTTCGCGTCGTTCGTCTAACTGCTTTTTCGTGCGGGAAAATATCACTTTGCGCACTTGTTAGGAAAATAACTATTTAATTTATTTTAATGGGTACTATTTCTCCTAGAAGTTTGATGCCATTATCCAGAAATATCCAGTATATCAATTTAAATTAAGTTACCTACTGAATGTAGCTTAACAAGCAATATGGAATAAATCACAAGATAAAACTGCTATAACTTCAGGGATATTTTAGTCTGGAGCTTTGAATGTGACTCTTGTAGAAATAAACAAAAGTTATAGCTGTGCCAATAGCCAAAAAAGTGATATTTGTCTTCTTAACTTTTATTTGCTATATCAAATAAAAGAATTATTATTTAACTGTCTACTTTTATGGCTCTATTAATTTAAATGAAGTTTAAGTAAGTTACCTACTCTACTAGCACTCTTTGACTCTACTATCAAAGCAGTATGAAATAAAACACAAGATAAAGTGATAGCTTTTTGTTTTGTTTGTTATAATATCAATATTTAATAGAAGAAATAAAGCAACTAATGTAAAATCGAATACCATTTAACTTAAATATTGAAAATAATACCTAATAAATTATAATGTTTTTATGTCCTTGTGTAAAAAAATACAACATTCAATGTTAAAGTTATAATTGTTGCATAATTTCCTCTCCTCCAAGACGTATTGGTGACCTAGTACGTAATTTTTTAGTGTTCTTGAACGTATCAAAACAATCAACGCCCTACCACTTCTGAATTACATTAGCTTATTCCCGGATACAGCAAGCACAGTAATAAATTAGTGACGTACTGGTGACGGCATACGTCATTTTTTCAGTAAATCAGTACACTGCATTTTAATTTTGGAACGCTTCCCAGTAAATACAGTACTGACAGTTGAAAAAAGAACACAGCCTATACAAATAAGCCGCTCTGCAGCTGACGCTTTTGAGCACGCAATCGAGCTTTTGCGCGCGCAAATGCTTCAAGCGGGTGTTCGTGTTACAGCCGTACTGCGCTTCGAGAGCTGCTAACTTTTGCGTTTAAAGCACAGAACACTGTGCTGCACCGTGCTTGAAGCACATAGCTGGAAAGCAGCTATAGTTGTATTCCTTTCAAGAGATTGAAACACTCGAGCTACTCGTTCCGGTGTTCAGTCGCCCCCGATTTACAGGAACGGATGCGTGGTGCAACAAAAACTTTTCGAAAGGAATAAGCGCGTGAAGCCCCGGAGCTGTTCCGGAGCTCCTCCTAGGTGTGAAAGGAATACAACTAATGAGAAAAGAAAAGTCCACTTCCTCTAATCTTGACAGGAAAAGTGACGTCACGAAATATTCTACAAAACTCAAACTCTTTCAAATTCAAGAACAACAAGGCATACATTTAATTGAAACAAAAACCCATTAACGTGTAAAAAAAAAATGTTCTAATTGAAAAAAAAAGTGGAGACGCATTTTCAAAAATAAGCCTTTCGAGTAGTTTTGACTTTTGAGGCACATAAACACCGAAATGAGTAGCGATTTCCATTTGCATTAAAAGTGTCGCACTAGTGTAACCACACGCCAAGTTATCACACTCGGGGCGAAAATTAAGGATAATCAGAACAGAACTCCCTACCTAGAACCACTTTTCGCGACGATTCTTGCCTTGGGCAACCCAAGAACAGAACACAGAACAGCACTAATCTTCTTTATTTAACTTTGCTAGTGGCATTAACCACAAATTTCGGCTAACTTCATTAATATTTTTCCTTTCAAATATTTTATTACATATTTGTTTTTTTTTTTGTTTTGTTCTTAGGTTTTGTTAATCCATGATTCATAATTCCTAGTATTTGTTTATCTTTCTTTATCCCCGCCATTTAAAAACCTTTGGTTATAAGTCGCAGGATTAGTTGCTGGGTGTGGTGTGAGCAGTTCCAGAGCTGAGAAACAGAGAGCTGAAAAGTGAAAAGGTGAGAGCAAGATTTTTTCTTATTTTGGGTTGGATATAAAAATATTTTCACTTTGTGTTGGATGAGGGCACCCCACCACGACCTTCTAAAAAAATGCAAACACTCTAAATTAGAATAGACCAACACAGCGAACGATATTTTCTGTGTCCCGGTCCTACAAAAAAATGTTTTCTTTTTTTTTTGTGACTACTAGTTCAATGTGAAGTGAATAGTATAAATAAATAAAGAATAAGGTAAGAAGTGCTGATATTGTTTTATCCTTTGGTTTAACCCATAATACAAATACTTGTATGTTATCATTTCTATGTTCATAGAAGCAAAAATCATTATTATTTTTAAAAATGTTAATTGTTTTTTTTTCATTGAATATAAATATTCAGGGCTTTCATTTCAAAACTTGCCACCCACGTTAGGTATCTGCGTAAAGAGGCATATTTGTGGAAATCGGCAAAACACGTCTAAACACAAAATGGAACAAATTTACTGGGAGGGGAAGGTTTTTAACATGAAACTGGACTTCATTTCTTCAACCCCCTAACCCCCAGGCAGTGGCGTAGCCAGGATTTTGTCTTGGGGGGGGCAAATTGGCAAGAAGTGTTTCCCGCAGCCCCACCGCGACCGCTGGCAGGGGCAAAGCGCCGCAGGCGCGAAATTTTTGGGTGCGACGCCCCTTTTTTAAGCTTATTTACGCTATTTTTGGGACTGTTTATTTTAATTTCGAAGATTTATTCATAAAATTTAAGGGTCTTGGGGGGGGCAAATGCCCCCTTGCCCCCCCCTGGCTACGCCAGTGCCCCCAGGACTACCATCCCAGAAATTTCAAATGAGACAGGAGACAGGGGGTCAAGTGATAGGTCATTTTAAGGGGCTGTTTAATCTGTACATTTTGCTTTTCTATTTTTTGAATTTGACCTCAGTGTTACAGAATAACACTCATTTCAATGTTTGAAAATGCCTATTTTTTAACACACCTGTTTCTCTATCTACCTTTTAATTACACCAACAGGTGAACAAGTAGGTGTGTTTAGGGATAAATAGGCATTGAAATGGGTGTTATTCTGCAACACTGATAGTAGGAGAGCCGGCAATATTAACGGGTATGTGATCGTTACAATGGATAATTTTCACATAAAAGAATAGCTCATAGTTACCCTTAAACTAAATGGATGGGTTGCCTTGATTCTCATGGCCGCAACCCTTTGATGGCTGGGCGTAAACTACCCCTCTTTTTTTGAAGGAACAATGTTATTGTTGCAATAGCTGAAAATTGGTAGAAATATTCTTTAATATTTCTTGTCAAATAATATATAGGGTTGCCTCGATTTTGATGGCTGGAAATGATGGCAACCCCTCGGGAAACCCTCATTGAAAGTAGAGTGCGCGCGTTATTTTGCTTGCTAAATACAAATTTTTGAAAGTGACAGCTTTCAAAGTCGCTTTTAAAGTTGAAAGAAGACTCTGCTCGGGACTTTATGAAGAGGATTTTGCATACGGCTGTAGGTCTTTAGACAAAAAAAGAAACATGAAATTGTGTTAATAAAGTGTTTGCCGCATATGATGAGAACCCCCTACACTGCAAGGTACTTCTTGCGCTTATGGTTCTTGAAGTATCTTTTTATAAAACAACTTTACAGCCATGAGAATCGAGGCAAACTCATCCATTTGGTTTAAAGGTAACTATAAATTATTGTTTTATGTAGAAATTATCCATTGCAACGATCACATACCCATTAGTATTGCCGGCTCTTGGACTATGAGGTCAAATTTAAAAACTAGAACGACAAAATGTACAGATTAAACAGCTCTTCAAAATGATCTATCACTGGATTCCCTGTCTCATTTGAAAAATTTGGGGTGATACTGATAGCCCTAGGGCTTAGGGGGTTGAAGGCGCGAAGTCCAGTTTTACGTAAAAAACATTCCCCCTCAATAAATTTGTTGACGTGTTTCGGCGATTTCCAGAAATCTGTCTCTTTCGCTGATAATCTAGGTGGCAAGTTTTGAATTGAAAGCCCTGTAGAAACCTCAGAAAAAAGATGTTTTATCAATGCAAAGTTGGGTAAAGTTGAATTGACCTTTCCTTGGTTTGACACCTAGTTAATCAATTTGGCTGATGATTCATCACACATTCATACAGTTCAGGCCTACGAAATGACTGTGTACTGTGTTAATTTCTCATGGCGTACAGTCGGCTCGAGTCGAATTCAGCCAAGCAAGATAAAAAGTGACTACTTCAACAATATGGCGGCAATGGTCATGGAATGGGTCATGGGCATCCTAGGCATGCTTAGCACTTTTTTGTAGGTACTGAACCTGGTGAATGAAACTGAGCTGTTTAGGTACTTGCTCTTGCTCTTGCTCTCACTATGGTAAAAATTCTGTGTACTTTGAATATACATACTCTCTGAAGCACGTTATTAATATAAATTTCAGTGAAGGAGTATCCCCAGAAGTCTTAAAGAGCACTATTATAATACCAATTGTACAACAAGGAGATAAATAGTCAACTAACAAATTATAGACTAATAGCACTGACAAGTACTATTAGAAAAATTGTAGAAACATGTCTTGGAAGTAAACTAATATCATTCATGGAAAAAAATAAGCTTTTAGGGGTGACAGAAAAAATATTGAGGTACCTTGACCAGGGGAAAAGGCTTTCAACACTGTGGCTCACCATGTTCTACTAAGGCGCCGGGATGACATTGGAATCAGAGGAATGCCAAATAAACTAATTAAATAATATCTGACAAAAAGAAAGTTGGTAACAAATGTATCAGGAAAAAAAAATGAGGCGAGAGTAGTGGAGCATGGGGTGCCGCAGAGTATGGTCCTTTCTACTTTGCTATTCAATGTATATGTCAATGAAATAATGAAACAGCTTCAACAAGGTGACATTTGTTGCTTTTTAGGTGACACTGCAATTATATTAAGCGGGGGGATTGGGATTTAGTGAGACAGAAGGCTGAAAGAGCACTATAAAAAGTTCAAATATGGTTAGACATGAGTTTACTCTCTCTTTACTTCTCACTTTCCAAGCGTACCCTGCCTGTAATGCAACATCTTAGAGTTCATGATCCACAATGTAAATTGGACATATATGTGATAACTTTCATTAAAAGAAAAACAATTTACAAGTTTTATGAGTTAAGAAATATGTTATATTTATCATCGAGTTTACCATTTAGAACATTGAAAATGATTTACCTTTCATTGGTTGAATCTATTGTTAATTATTGGTTGGCTGTTTGGGGTAATGCAGGCTCAACAATACTGTCAAAACAAAGTGTGGTTCATGGGTGGATAATAAAAATCCTCCTTTTCAAAAAGAAAAGATACCCAAGTGACCTTGTTTATAAAGTAGCTTACTAACCATAGACCAAGTGCATATTAAATCTGTGGTAAGGTTCACATGTAAGAATTCTTATAACAACGAGAACATGAAGATTGGTCTAAATCTCGGTCTAAATACTAGGACTACTGCATAAGGAAAAGTTGAGCTGCAGGACCCAAAACATATAACCTGTCCGAAGCATATATACTGTGTTGGCCTGAAGGTATATAATGATTTGCCTAGTAGTATTAAGGAAAAAAAGTATCAAAGAGCTAAGGGGGAATTAAATAAATGGATAGTGAATTTTCCAAGTTTCAACAAGAATAGTGAGATACTACCCCAAAAGTAACAGCTTGGTGTGCAATCTCTGTTGAGAAAAAATTTGGACCATTTTTCATGAATGAACTAACGATAACAGGAACGGTATGCAGTGATATGTTGGAATTTTTTTATCCACAGTTAGACAGGGTTAAGGGTACCTTGGACGATATACATTTTCAGCAGTATGGTGTCGAGGATGGTGTCCCGCCTCATTATTCTTTAAGTGATAGAGAATCACTAGATATGACATTTGGGGAAGGGTAGATAGGGAGAATGGATACCTTACTATCTTGATTTGACATTTGACAGTCCCAGACTTTTCTCTGGAGTCATGTCAAGGAGAGATGCTGTAATCCTTTGCCGAATATCCTGAAAGATCATAAGCTGAACATTCGTAAAGTCATTCGAGCGATTCCCCTGGGACCCAATTCTTGAATAATCTCGCATGCGAAAATTGAGATGTTTTCGAAGGTTCCCTATTCAATTTACATTGCTGTCATTCGAATTCGTACCAACTTTCGTATGCGAGAATATTCAAGAATTGACCCCCAGGACATGTTACACAATTCATTCAACCATTTAACTGATTCATGGATGTGTGGAACATAGTGGCTAACATCATATGTATACATATACAGCATTTTTTATAGTCATGCAGTTTTTATTAACTTTTTATTAGGAAAACATAAGTTCCAAGCTTTGTGAATGTGCTAATAAAAAATGCGTTTGCAAAAATACCAGGATTTCGATTTCGATTCCTTACAGCTAGAACTTTTAGTTTCAAGGACGATGTTTATTGGTTCATAGATACCTTGAACATAACTCTTTTTTGTGTTTATACATATACATTGATCTCGACATTGATATACACTTAGTGTTTGCGTTTGCCCAGATTCAGTATACACTGCTAATATTTCTGCTTTTTAGGTTGTTCTTCGTGTAGGAATACCTACTCAGAGAAATACACAGGACGTAATGCGGGCTTTGGGCTTTATAGTAGTTACTCGATTCGTAACATGTAAAGAAGAAAACTACTAGCACATACGATTTAAAGTTGGCAAAATTGAAAAAACATATAAAAACCTACTTAAAACTAGGATGACTAATCTATGATCCTATCAATGCAATTTTCTGTTTTAAACTGCTATAAAACATATCAACTTTATTATGCAGGCTCAAAAATTCATCAGCAAATATTTACCTGTTGAATAAAGGAAACAAATCGTTATTGGCGTCTATCGAAAATACCTAATCCCCTATCTACAATTTATCAGACCAATTTCAAGAGCATTGAAATTGATATGCCTGCAAGGTCACAGTATTGATAATTATTATAGTTTATACC